CCCCCTGCTATTTGGGTTGAATTACCCTGGTGGAGGATAGGTGCTTGGACCCCAGCAGTGGTGTATGATAGGAAAGAGAGGGAGAGACGAGGAAAAATAGAGAAAAAGACAAAGAGAGAGAGAGAAAAAATAAAACAAACCTGAGTCGGTTGAGACCATCTGTCGTGGGAAAGTTAGTAGGAGGGTGAGAGAATAAAGAAAGAAGAAGTAGAGTGGTAAGTTAAGGAGATAACTGAGGCTTGATCACCTGACTGTTGGGCTTGAGGAGTTCCAACTCTGCCTCAAGGTAGCAGGGTGGTGTGCCCATTTGATGTAGGGTCCTACAGATGCTGGGTCGGAGTATCCTAGAAGGCAAGATTGCAACAATGGCCAGACTCAGTTCCCACCGCGGTGTTCAGTACAAAAATTTTTAATTGCCCAAGTGGTGCTGCTGTTGTTTTTTCTAGTAAAGGTGGGGCAAATAAGTTTGGGAACCTATGCTTTACTAGCAGCCCCTTAAGGGTGAATGACAGTTGACACCTGCCACATCTAATGGTAAGACCCTAGGAGGCCTGTGCTCTATAGGGTAAATTTTATCAGACCTGACTTAGGATGAATTCCCAGTATTCCTCCCTCTTGGACCTAAGCTGCATGCCATGTCTTGGGACATTTCATGGTTGTAGGCTGGATTTTGTGAGAATGTGTTTGCTGACTGACCTCATCTACATTGTAGCCCAGGTAAGAAACCTGCTTAACAAGTGATGGCTCATTGAAGACTAGGTGACTGTCCCCTGGGGACAATTAACTATGGTGAGAACACTAAATTACTAAGTTCTTACTTTGAAATCTGATTGGTAGCGTGAGAGGCCCTTGGAATCTGCAGTTGTAGATTGCACCCTACTCCTGCTTATGTGTTTGCCACTGTGTCCCATGCAGACCTTATGTTGTCTCATTAATTTGAAGTTATATGTTGAGTTTTATCAGATAGATGAACACAAGTTGTAACATTGTGTTACATATTCACTCACATATATTGACTTGTTTACTTGTTTTCACCCATTTAATGGGAATTTTGTCAGAAATTGATCATACATGCAATCAGGCTACATTGATAATTATTAGTGATGGGAATGCAAAAGTTGGAGACAAAGAAGGAGGAACAGTAGTTTGAAACAGGGGAATTGGTGACAGAAACAAAGATGAAGATCACATGATAGAATTTTGCTGAATTTTGCAACACCAGCAACTAGTCATAGCAAGTGCTTTTTTTTTCAACAACAACAAAAAAAGGTGACTAAACACCTGGACTTTTTCTCCATATGGAATAAACAGAAATAAAATTAACTACATCTGTGGCCGGGGACAACTGGAACAGTCCATCAATTGCTCATATAAGTTCAGGTTAAAGCTGAAGAAAATGAACACAAGTCCACAAGAGCCAAAATATAACCTTGAGTCTATCTCACCTGAGTTTCGAGAACATCTTAACAGATTTGATGACTTGAACCCTAATAACAGAAAACCAGAAGAGCTGTGCGAGGCCCTCAAGAGTATCATTCATGAAGAAAGCAAAAAGTAACTAAAAAGACAGGAAAAGGAGGAAAAAATATCAATGTGGGTGTCAGAAGACACCCTTAATTTTCATTTTAGACTAGATAAAGCAAATGGAAGAAATGATGAAGTCAAAGAGCTGAACAGAAAATTTCTAAGGGCAGCTCGAGAAGCCAAAATCAAATATTATAAAGAAATGTGCAAACACCTAGAGTTTGCCCACCATACTCACCAACAGAAATAATAGTGTCTCATCTAAAATGTAGATGTTCCTCTCCCTTGGGCTTAACTTGATTTTCCAGTTAGGTTCTTCTCTCATTCCTGTGGAGGACCTGTTGATTTGTCGTAGCCTTGTCACAATGTTGTATAGAATCAAGTGGATGACAAGACTTCTTTAGAGTATTAAAAAGCAAGAATTTTGAGGACTAAGGTATACCTTACCCAAGCCTTGGTATTTTCAGTTGCTTCATAAGCTTGTGGATGTTGGACATTGAATAAGGAAGAACAGAAAATTGGTACATTTAAATTGTGGTGCTGACAAAGAATATTGAAAATACCCTGGCCTGCAGTGAAAGAAAGGAAGGCCCTCAACAAGATGGATTGATGGCACAGTGGCTGCAACAATGGGCTCAAGCATAGGAACAATTGTGAGGATGACGCAAGACCATGTAATGTTTAGTTCTATTTTATGTAGCGTCGCTATGGATCGGAATTTACTTTATGGCATGTAATGACAACAATGGGAGTTTTTATTTATTGATAAGTCTTGCTTTTTTCCAATTAGTAACTTGGTCTCTCTGTCTCTTATGGTATAGGTTTTCTTGGTCAAAAAGAGAGTGGACAGCATTGTCTGCTATATTCCCTCTGTTCCTTTTTAAATTTTTTGTCCTATTTTATCAATCCAACATTACTATTGGTTGAATATTTGCATGTAACTCTAGTACCCTGGAAAATGACAGCACAATTTGTGGGACCTAGAGGACAAATTATATGTATAATTATATATGTTTACATAATATATATTATACATATACTTATACATAAAAATAATTTTATGTATATAGTCATTTTACTGAAGGCTCATACAACATTTATCACAATCCATCCATTGGGTCAAGCACATTTGTACATTTGTTGCCATCATCATTCTCAAAACATTTGCTTTCTACTTGAGCCCTTGGTATTAGGTCCTCATTCCCCCCCAACCCTCCCTTCCTCCCTCCCCCTTGATAATTTATAAATTATTATTATTTTGTCGTGTCTTACCCTGTCCTGCATCTCCCTTCACCCACTTTTCTTTTGTCCATCCCCTAGGGAGGGGGTTATATGTAGATCATTGTGATCAGTTCCCCATTTCTTCCCCTTCACTACTCTCATTATTGGTCCTAAGAGGTTTATCTGTCCTGGATTCCGTGTTTCCAGCTCTTTTCTGTACCAGTGTACATCCTCTGGTCTAAGCCGGATTTGTAAGGTAGAATTGGGATCATGATAGTGGGGGGAAGCATTAAAGAACTAGAGGAAAGTTGTATGTTTCATTGCACCCTGACTGGCTCATTTCCTCCCTGTGCCCCTTCTCTAAGGAGATGTCCAGTTGCCTACAAATGGGCTTTGGGTCTCCACTCTGCACTCCCCCTCATTCACAATTATAGGATTTTTTGTTCTGGGTCTTTGATGCCTGATCCTATCGACACCTCATGATCACACAGGCTGGTGTGCTTCTTCCAAGTAGGCTTTGTTGCTTCTCAGCTAGATGGCCTCTTGTTTATCTTCAAGCCTTTAAGACCCCAGACGCTATATCTTTTGATAGTTGGGCACCATCAGCTTTCTTTACCACATTTGCTTATACACCCGCTTTGTCTTCGGTGATGGTGTCGGGAAGGTGAGCATCATGGAATGCCAGTTTAATAGAACAAAGTGATCTTGCATTGAAGGACTACTTGAGTAGTGGCCCAGTGTCTGTCTGCTACCTTAATACTAAACCTATAAATATATGCACATAGATCTATTTCCCCATCATCTTATATAAATATGTACATGCCTATATTTAGACCTCTATAAATGCCCTTTGCCTCCTACTTTTTTCCTCTATTTCCTTTTACTTTCCTCTTGTCCCACTATCATGCTCTGCCTTCATTTTGGTTTCAGTAATTCCTCTCGGTTACATTGCCCTTGATCAAGCCCTCCTATACCCTCCTTGCCATCGATGTTGGATTACTTGTTCCCTTGTCCCTGGGTTTAACACCCACTTCCTTTCCCCCTTCTTCCCCTCTCCCATGTCCCCCTGGAACTGTCAATCCTGTAGTTTCCTTCTCCAGATTGTTTATCCAGCCTATCTTGTCTAGATAGATCTGCAGAGATAATAGTATGCACAAAAAACAAGATAGAGCAAAACAAAACAACAACGACCAAAAAAACAAAAGCCTGTAAACAGTTCAAGGTCTGTTTGTTGATGTTTAAGAGTGTTTTCCGGTTGAGTCTGATAGAGTCCCACACCCTGGCCCCACAGTCTAGTTTTGGAATCCCTGGGGATTTCATTACTTTCCTCCCCTTGCTGTTCCATTGCACACCCTTAATGTTTCACCTCAGTATGGTGGGGTCAATTGGGCACATTTCCCGCACTGTGTCTCCAGTGTTGTCCCCCATAGGACTGTGGGTCAATGAGGGGCATTCTGTCTCGTAGTGGGGCTGGCCCTATGGTCCTTTCTGTGCATTGGCTGCTCTGAGCAGGAATATCGTTCTCAGGGCTTGGTGGACCAGGATGTGTTCCACTCTCTCTTCTCCTCCCTTCATTTGTTCCTGTGTGCTCTGATCAGACATGTCCCTCTCCCTGAGCTGTAGCTTCATTTCTGTCCTCTGAAGTGAATTCTTCTGAGGGGAGGGGCTGCTGTCCATGTAGTTAGGATTGGGGCCAGCCCCGCAGACCTCTCTGTTGGTTCCCTACTTCATGCTGGTATGGCTAAACAATACTCTTATTGTTTCTCTATCCCACGTTGTCTTTAGGCTTTCATTCATTCATGGACATTTGCCTTATTTCTTATTTTAGACTATATTGAATGCTGCTGGGAACCTCTGTTTACAAGTTTTTGTGCAAATGTGCTTTTGCTTTTCTTCAGTTTATACCTAAGAGTGGAATTGCTAAGCCATATGGGAATTTTTAATTTCACTTCTTAAGAACTGGAAAAAAATATTTCCACAGCAGCTGTACCATTTTACATTCCTAACCAGAGTGTATTTTTAATTTTCTTTTAAATTCTATTTTACAGTTGATAAAACAGAGTCTTGAATCAGAGTCTTGAAAGCAGTCTTGAGACACTTGCTGAAGGTTCCAAACTGCCAAGTGGCTGATTGAGAAGCTGAACCTAAGTCTCCAGGCTCTGCTGCTTACTCCCAGATGCCTGGCCACTCAGGGCCCTACCTTACCCTGTGCTAGGTGGCAGATGGTCATTTTCATCTGTATCTCTCGCCTATAGATCAACCAGAATGTAGAGATCCAGCGCAGCCGCCTGCGGGATGACATCAAAGAGTACAAGTTCCGGGAGGCTCGCTTACTGCAGGACTACTCAGAGCTGGAAGAAGAGAACATCTGCCTGCAGAAGCAGGTGTCTGTGCTCAGGCAGAACCAGGCAAGTCTGTGGCCTGCGGGTGGGGGATACACGGAGGAGCTCATCTCCTCACCTGTTCCTGACTTCATGCACTGGGAAGGTATGTTCTCCCAGGCAGTGGGCTCTCAGTGGCCAGGTCCCAGCCCCCAGGCCCCCTGCAAGGCAGGAGCTCAGGCAGTTGTGTCAGTCATCTACCCTGAGGCTACCATCCCATCAAATCATAAAAGATTACACTAAACCCCTCAGAACCTCCAGGTTCTCTTCCCATCTCCATTGCTGATCTTAAGTTCTTTATGGAGGTACCCACATGTCCTTGTGGAAGTGTTCATTAGCCCCTTCTTCCCCCTGTGCCATTTTTGGCACAGACGACGTGAGCTCCACCCAGTTCTACCATTTCACCTATGGGCACTCATGCTATTTCTCTGGATCTAATAAAACTCCCATAAAAATGTATGGCCTCTGAAACTGACATGGAAGTTCTATGAGTTCTAAGTTGCTATGAGTCCAAATCAACTTGATGGCAGTGAATTTGGTTTTAGTATAGAATCAAGGGAGTGGGAGTCAGTGGAGGAACTGGATAGACCTTGACAATCCATATGTGGTTATTTGTTCCTTGCTTTGGGAGTTGTTGCAGGCCAAATCTCAGGGACCTGCCAAAAAAGATGAAATGCCCTCGCATCGTAACCTAGGATATAGTTTGTACTAGGTTTTTTTTAGTGGCTGTCAAGTCACCCCATGCACAATGGTTGGAAACAGCCCTGCCTTGTCCTGTGCCCTCTGCTTGATTGGATATAGATCAGACCATTGTGATTCCTAGGGTTTTTCATTGGCTGATTTTCTGAAGTAAACCACCAAGCTTTTCTTCCTAATATGGCACCTCTGTACCTTTCTAATATCTGCAGGTCCATTCAGTATTGCATTTTTGTCGATATTTTTTCTTTTACTAAGTATTACAAAATAATAGCCAATTTGTTTATAGTCAGTGTTTTTAAATGTTTCCACAAACCCTGACTCAACATACACACACACCCTGCCAATATAAAGCATCAGTCATCATATTTTCTTGTCGGTTTCTTGAACACTTGAGAATATAATTTCATACAGATAAAATCTTGGATTCTGCTGTTGACCCCTTAACACTAGCGCTTCTGGGGTCTATGTATTGTATTGTACACTGGTTGTAAGTAGAGGTGAGTGCCTTCTGGTGTCCTGTGCTCACTGCAACTGCCTTGATGGGTCTCATTTCTGTATCATTTGAAATATAGTTAAAATAATCAATGAACATATGAATATGTTTTGAAATACTCAAATAGCTTAATATTAATTAAATAATTGTATATTACTTTAAATGATCAATTCTTATTAATATTTTTAAGTTAAAAAAGTATATATCTTAAAGCATAGACACATGTCCTTTGTGTTAAGACCCTTCCACGGCCTGGATCTGCACAGACTCAGGTTTGGTTGTCTGGCACTTTTGTGTTACTCATGGTGCACATATACACCTCCATCCTCCCCTAACCCTCAGCAGAATCCCTCCCAGCTTCCTCCTATGATGATGGGTAAACTCTCACCATTATAACCTGCCACAGTAGTGCACCGCATCCCCACAACACAGGCATATACATTCCAGCAGGGCTGGGTGTGGACTTCTACTGCCCAGAAATGGGACTGAGTATTTGAAACTTTTTGCTACTGTAGTCCCCATAAAGTGGTTGCCTGGTTTATGGTTCTTTAAATCCTCTTCCCTAGGTGGAATTTGAGGGCCTCAAGCATGAAATTAAGCGACTGGAGGAAGAGACTGAATATCTAAACAGCCAATTAGAGGATGCCATCCGGCTCAAGGAAATCTCAGAGCGGCAGCTAGAAGAGGTACTAGAGACGCTCAAGACAGAGCGGGAACAGAAGAACAGCCTGCGAAAGGAGCTATCGCACTACATGAGCATCAATGACTCCCTCTACACTAGCCATCTGCATGTCTCCCTAGATGGCCTCAAGTTCAGTGATGATGCTGCTGCTGCTACCACAGAACCTAACAATGATGCTGAGGCCCTGGCCAATGGTCTGGAGCATGGTCTGGCCAAGTTGCCGCTTGACAACAAGACCTCCATGCCCAGAAAAGATGGGATCCCACCACCCTCACCTAGCCTGGTCTCTGACCTGCTCAGTGAGCTCAACATCTCTGAGATCCAGAAGCTAAAACAGCAGCTGATGCAGGTGAGAATGTGGCCATGGTGGGGTTGGCCATGGTGGGGGCCTCTGCCACAGAGTTCTAGAACATGAAAAAGTCTGGTTTAGTTTCTCCACTTTCAGCCCTTGCCACATTTGCACCTCTGTCAACAGTATGCATCTAACACTTTATACTGACTTGCTAGCTTCTACTTAAATTTGTTTTAAATTCTATATTGGTTCCATAAAGTATAGTACATCCTAATCCAGATTTAAGAATTAAAGAATTAAAGGACTGATTACTAGATTCAGGTTTTCTCATATATTACCATGACATTCATGTAATGACAGTGGGATATGAGTTGTGTCAAGACTTTGTACTCAAAGTCCCCATGGTGTGTCTCCATAGGAGCCCTGGTCACATAATGGTTACATGTAGAGCTGTGATCCACAAAGTCAGCAGTTTGAAACCACCAGCTGCTCCTTGGGAGAAAGATGGGACTTCTACCCCTGTGAAGAGTTACAGTCTTGGAAACTCACAGGGGCAGTTCTACCCTGTCCTATAGGGTCACTTTGAGTCAGCATTGACTTGTTGGCAATGAGTTTGGTTTGGGTTTGTGGTGTCTCCCCACAGGACTTCTCAGAGCTTCTAGTCTGCTACCGCAGCTGCAGGGTGCAGGCAGAGACAGGACTCGCCAACCTTGTTGAGCACGAAGACTTAAGGGAGAGAGCCCACTTGTGAAATGATAAAAAGCTAGTCCTGTATTCAACACCCACATGCAGACACTTTATAGAGAAGGACTCAAGCCAAAGCAAGACACATCTTTATAACCTTGCCTCCTGGAAGACAGAACATCTTTCATTTTATGTTGAATCTAAAAATGTCTACTGCATGTCTCCAGGGCACTGGGGACAAAGGCAGTTATTACCCTTGGGAAGCTGAGTGCTGGGCCTAAGTTCTACTGTTACCCTGTAATCCTGGGCCTTAACCTTCTGAGCCCAGGACTCTGACTATGGGCCCACTGAGGAGGGGACATGGCACAAGGGACATCTGGGTTCCTCAGAGTGGTGTTCCTCACATTAACTTCAAGCAGTTACATGACCAGGCTCTGAATCCCAGCCCCCTAGTTTTTGTTCATAATGACTTTGGACAGGTCACCCAGCATCTCAACCTCAGGTACCCCACCTGCCAAATGGCGGTACGGACAGCAGCACCTTTCTGCATAACTGTGAGGATTGGTGCTGGTATAAAGGGGTTTTGAGGGTTCACATGAGTCATACTATTCATTCCATTTCACTGACAACAAATGGTTAAGGAACCCCAGAGGCCATAGTTGATACATGGAATCAGGCAGGATGGTGTTAATTGTGCCAAGGTGGCCCCTTTATAAACAGCTGACTTCTCTGTGCCTATGCATTGTAGATGGATCGGGAGAAAGTGAGCCTGCTTACAACACTTCAAGACACACAGAAGCAGCTGGAACAGGCACACAGGGCCCTCTCAGAGCAACATGAAAAAGTTAGTCAGCTCACAGAGAACCTAAGTGCCCTTCGGCGCCTACAGGCCAGCAAGGAGCGACAGACAGCCCTGGACAATGAGAAGGACCGGGACAGCCATGAAGATGGCGACTACTATGAGGTGGACATCAATGGTCCTGAAATCCTGGCCTGCAAGTACCATGTGGCTGTGGCCGAGGCAGGTGAGCTCCGGGAGCAGCTGAAGGCACTACGTAGTATTCACGAGGCCTCGGAAGCCCAACATGCTGAAGAGAAAAGCCGCCGTGAAGCTGAGGGCCAGGCACTGACTGAAAAGCTCACCCTACTAGAGAAGGCCAGCCGCCAAGACCGAGACCTGCTGTCTCGGTTAGAGAAGGAACTCAAGAGCGTGAGTGATGTGGCTGGTGAAACACAGGGCAGCCTGAGTGTGGCCCAAGATGAGCTGGTAAGCTTCAGTGAGGAGCTGGCCAACCTCTACCACCATGTATGCATGTGTAACAATGAAACACCAAATCGCGTTATGCTAGACTACTACCGTGAGGGGCATGGTGGAGACAGCCATGCCAACCCTGAGGGTTGTGGCCACCGGTCTCCCATCCTCCTGCCTAAGGGGCTACTGGCTATGGAGCTGGGCAGAGGAGAGAGCGGGAATGGAGAAAGCAATCCTTCAACCAGCTCCTCGCTACCATCACCCCTGAGCGATCCACACCGCGAGCCCATGAACATCTACAACTTAATTGCCATTATTCGAGACCAGATCAAGCACCTACAAATAGCTGTGGACCGCACCACTGAACTGTCTCGGCAACGTATCACCTCACAGGAGCTGGGCCCTGTTGTAGACAAAGACAAGGAGGCACTGATGGAGGAGATCTTGAAGCTCAAGTCACTCCTCAGCACCAAGCGTGAGCAAATCACTACATTGCGGACCGTGCTCAAGGCCAACAAACAAGTGAGTCATTGGGCTAGGCCTGGAGTCTGGGGAACTGGATGTGTATGAGCCAAGCTTCAGGACCTGGGAATTCATTATGGATGCATGGGTGAGGACTAGGGGCTCATAGTACCAGGAAGGTTGGGGATGAATAGGAGCTGGACAGAGCCACTCTTCAGAGCTCCAAGCCCAGGGCTCTGTGAGGCTTCTAAGAGTTTGACTTTGATTATCAGGGAACCATTTGGTCTGGACCCTGGAAGGCTGCTGGTCTGAATGGGCATTTCCCTTTCAACTCTGACCTCCTCTGACCCTCAGGAGGCATTCAGGACCTCTAGTTAAGAAGGATAGGGGTACAGCTGGGGTGGCAAGCTTTGACAGGTCCTCCTCATAACTAGAGCAGCATTGTTAGTGGTTATCCTGTACTAGGGTTCTTTAGCACAACTGCCTACTATTGGGCCTTAATGCTTTGGGGAGTATTACTGAGTGTTGTTAAAGTGAGGTGACTGAGAGGCTGCACTGGAGAAGAATACTTCTGAAGCTATGTTCACATTCAGATGGTTCCCACCATGGGTGTTCATGGGAGACATTGTGTGGTGGGTGCACTCTTCACCCCACCCACTTGCTATCCTTATAGACAGCCGAGGTAGCCCTGGCCAACCTGAAGAGCAAGTATGAAAATGAGAAAGCAATGGTGACCGAGACCATGATGAAGCTGCGCAACGAGCTCAAAGCACTCAAGGAGGATGCTGCTACCTTCTCATCATTGCGTGCCATGTTTGCCACCAGGTGAGCAGTCGGGAGAAATTTGCACCCGCCACCCTGGGTGTTACTGCTTGGCTGGTCAAGGACCAGGGGAGGCACTCCCAGTGGAGCTGCAGCTGACTATATCCTGCATGCTGCTTCATCACAGCCCCTGGGAAGGAGTACAGAGCTGCTGTCCACTGATGGTGATGGGTAAGATAAGGAGGAAACTGTAGCAGCAGATGTGGAAGGGGGAAACTTTCTGCTTTGTCCTTTGTGATTTCAATCAGCATCTCCTTGGCCAGTTGCTGACGTCCTTACTTGAAAAGACCTTGTCCTCTAATGTGGAGCATGTAGTAATGGCCAAGGGTGGCTGTGAGTAGGCACATAACCCAGTGCAGAGTGGAGGTTCTCCCACATGGTGGAGGAGCTCAGTAACAAGGTCCAGGATGGGCTGAAAGCAGCCCCGTCCTCACGCCGTACATACAGTTCTAGCTGGGGAGGTGGAGGACTTGAGCTTTCTCAAAGAGACGTACAGGTCTGACACAGCATTCCTTCCTATGAAAGGTTGGGACAAAAGGCTGGACAGTGAGAATAAGGGTTCCTAGATGTTAAGCACTGCACTAGGGGCCCCTTCATGGGAGAGATCCTTCCACTGTGGTTCCAGGAGGTGGTCTAGATTCTATAGTTTCCCTTTATACACGAGGAAACAAAACCATGAGATTAGGTAGGATTATAGCCTGAACTTCATGTCCTGCGTCCCCTCACGTTCAGAACTGGGCATACTTGTTTTTCACTGTCCCTGCCAGGACAAAATTGAGACAGGATGAAATTAATCCTAAACTAGATATGTGGGAGAAGAAAGAGAGAGAAAGCTTCAGCCTTTGTCTAGAAGCTTCCTCCTCTTCTTGAGGCATACACAAGTCCTCAAGAAAAGAGTGCACATTTCCTTGGCATTAATACCTAAACCTCCGCTTCCTTAAACTTATTTTATTTAAAGACATACAGCCCTTAACTTTTCAGTTGACATAAGTATCTCAAACATGTCCACATCCTGCTCAGCCCTAGCCCCCATGTGTGCATGAATGGAAGTTCTTCAGGAGGGTGCTGGGTTGGAGGGATGTGCTTAGATATGTACACTCAGAAAAACCAGGTCCACAGTGGGAGGAGCAGCTATTCAGTAGGCTAAGCTCTGAGATCACTCAGTTTGGTGTGGGGTTGGCTCATAGTACTTGGGTGTTTTGGAACTTCTGGGAAACTCCTGACTCTGTATGTTACCTTTGGTGGCAGAACACCTTGCCTGGCTGTGCCCTCTCATGAGTTTATATTAATCTTCAGCATAGTTAAGAAGATGACAAAAAAAATAAAAAGATGACAAGATGTGTGAAAGGTCACTCAAGGCCAGACAGGAGACAGATATGTCCTGAGCAGGAACTTAGGAGCCATTCCTGTTTACCTCACTACACCCACACACGTTTGCCTGGCTTGGATAGTCCACTCAGCACAGATTGACTAAGCTCCTACTGAACGCAAGTACCATGCCCAACACAAGTAAAGCCAAAACCAGATCCCAGCCCAGCTTCCTGGGGTCTACATCCAAACCTTGAAAGTCATGTGATACCATAGTGCCCATGTCACAGTTAAGATGGCACCAGCATCTCCATTGGCTGCCCAAATCATAAGGAAGCCTAGAAGGGCAGTCCTCACTCCCCTTTGAGAACACATGCTGCAGAGAAAGCCAGATCAATCAGAGGAAAACAGCTGCTCCATTGAAAACCCTATTGAAAAAGCAACGCAGGCGGAATCAAATGTATGCCCTACCTCCAATTAAAAAACAAAACTAGTTAACCCTTTCAGTCTGTGCTGTCTGCCCTCTGAGCATGCTCTCTGACTAGCTGTGATCAGGGGCCTTTGTGAAAGCTTCTTGAAGATACTACCACAGGGGAGAAGGCTTAGTGAGGAGGTCCAGGGTCGGCTGTGACCAGGTCCCTCCCCCCCACATAAACCCCTGGACAGATAGTTGGAGGACTGGATTTGCTTAATCAGGCACATACAGCCCTTACTAAAAGAAGTTGGAACATTGGCCTTTTCTCCTCCCCACTACCCTCACCTCACCTACTGTCCATAGCCTCCCACATGGGAGATGGCTTCACTACTACTGTTTCTCCTATATGGCCAAGGCAGACCCACCTCACCACCATCATCCCCTGGACCCTAGTTTCCTTGCTCCAGGAAACAACTTTACCTTACCTACCCATGCCTCGTCATGAGTTCTCACATTGTCTTGCAGGTGTGACGAGTACATCACACAGCTGGATGAGATGCAGCGGCAGCTGGCAGCTGCTGAGGATGAGAAGAAGACCCTCAACTCACTACTGCGCATGGCCATTCAGCAGAAATTGGCCCTGACCCAGCGTCTGGAGCTGCTTGAGCTGGACCATGAGCAGGCTCGGCGTGGCCGCAACAAGACCACCCCCAAGTCCAAGCCCAATGCCCCGAGTGTAAGTCACACCTGTGCCAGTGCCAGTGACAGGGCTGAGGGCTCTGGGCTCTCCACTCAGGTGTTCTGTCGTGAAAAGTATAACATTTACTGTGACTAAGGCTGTGGACACTGCATGCTGCAGCTAACACTGAGCATCACCTATTCGCTTCATCCCCACTAACTCACATCTACGTGGGTGCAGCACACTGGCCTTCTGGACTCTTGGGCCTGTTTTGTGTCTGTTCATCTTTTTGTTACTTTTTGGATGCTACCCTTTTTGGTAGGGGTTAGAGGAGGGGACAGAGGAAGGGATTTCCTGGTGATGTGGGCCACGGAGCAAGCTCTTAGTCAAGGAAGTCCTGCTCTGGCGTCCTTGTTCAGCACCTGCAGGGAGGTTCAGGATCCTGGTGGGAAACTCATGCCCTGACACATGTGCCATGGATTTGTCTTGCCCTTCCGCCGTGGCTCCCATCCTCCCTGTTGAAGTGATTGTGACAGAAAACTCTGCGTACAGCTTGGTCCAGGAATTGCTTTGTAGCCTGTGCCACATTTCACTGCAAAACCCATTCAGGACAGAAGTGCATAATTATACCACCAATGTGGTACAGAGCTGCCCCAAGCTTTCTGCATTCCTTCAGACCCAGACAACATGTCACTTGGGAGCCTAAGCATATGTCAGCCCAAGTGCAGCTGATCTAGCCCAGTTCACCTGACGTAGCCACTGATCCCCTTCTGAGGTCTGCACCTGTCTTGCTCTGCAAGCAGGTAGGAAGGTAGCTGTCAGGGACCATAGTTCCAATGAAAATAACTTTCCAAGTGCCTAGCCAGGGTCTTTGTATCCAATGTGAAGCCCTGGTCTTTTGTATGGCAGTGGTTTTTCTCCTGCTGCCCACCTTTCCCTGCAGGGTAGCAGGTAGGCCTGCAGTGCCCTACTGTGCCCACTTACCTGCTCACAGTGCATCACTTCCTCGAAGATGACGTCACCCCTAAGAAGGACTTTGAATCCACATCCGGAAATCCCAGCATCCTGAGCTCAGCTAAGTTGAAAGCTCCTCACAGTTGCTGGCAGGAACCCAGCTTGGGCTGCTCTCAACAGCTTTGAGTGGGACCAGCCCCTGTTCTTCACAGGTGGAAATGTGGCTTCCTTTATTTAGTGCAATGTGGGGGATGAATGGGCATTAGGTCATGGGACTTAGTCAACATGGAACCCCATGGCCCTTCCATTAGTTAGTGGGGACATTGTCTGTACTGCATCAGGCATCCTGAGTTTACACTTCCTGGTGCAGCACATCTCTCAGTATTTCTCTTCCTAATCACCCTCTGGGGTCAGCTGGACAAGAAGCCGTGTTGTCTTCATCTCTTTGCTCCTCACCTATCAGAAGACAGAGGGCACCTTTCTACAGACGGGGAATTCACGTTATCTGACAAAAAAACTGCTTTGCCCTCTCTCCCAAAGGTGTTTACCTTTGTTTATTTCACTCTTACACATGGTTCTTGAGAATATCTCGGGCCTCAACAAACTCCGACTGCTGTGGGCAGGCTGTGCTTTAGGTTGGGACTGCAACAACTTGAAGTGGCAGAGGAGAGTCCTGCAGGTGTTCTTTGGGCTTGGTATCTTGGGCTCAGTGGGCCTTGAAGTGCCTCTCCTCCTTTAGAAAGGCCCTTTCCTCCCCTGCCTTGGCGAACAGGACTTATCGGAGGAGTGACTTCCCTATCTCAGCCTGCCTTGCATGTGTCACTTCATACACGTCTGCAGCCTCCACTTTGCCTGCCACCGCAGCAGCTTTTCTCAGTCCTTGTAAGGACCTTTGTGTGTCACTCGGGAGCAGCCTCACTGCAGAACATAGCCACAGCTAACACGGAAGTTTCTGCTCTGCCAACTAACTATCCCCATATTCACAGCACCACCAAGACTGAGATGTGGGTTGAGCTGGCATGATGAGTGACTTGTTTTCTAATGGCATCTTGTTTTCTCCCATTTCCAGTTGTAGAGTAGTTGCTGAGAGGACTCGGCCACCTGGCCCTGTCGCCTTGCAGCTCCTCTCCTCCCTTCGTGGTTGTGGTTGGAGGAATACAGGCTGTCCACATGGAGGAAGGAAAGGCAACATAATTTCCACTTAGAAATGTCTTTGGATATGCCACTGCTTCCCCGCCCCCCCCCCCCCCCCCCAAAAAAAAAACAGCATTCCCTGGGTTTGTAATGGGAAGAATGAGAGCTTTAATGATGAAAATACTGCAGGCTACTGCTTGAAAGACTTTTTTACAAGTACTGAGGAATCTGCTCCAAACCATGATCACCGTGTTCATTGTGAACCCACTAGAGACATCATGGGGAGCCCCTCGTCCTACATACACCCCTTTTTTACCTGATAAACCTGTGCACTTTTGTTACATTGGTATTATAGTTCCTCACTCCTTATGTAGAGATAATTCTCAAATGATGTGTGTGTTCAAGATCACATAGCTCTCCATCCTGACTGTCAACCTTTTGACTGGATGTCAGCATATTGCAAACATGTGTACTTCTTTTACTATGTAGCTCTATACTGTTTAGGCAAGGACTTGGACCCAGCAAGGAGCTTGGATGATGGAGCCACCCTATGGGTCAGCAGCCTGTTACATTATACAGCATTATATGATTCATCTTTGAAATTATGGATTTAAATGCCATGTTCATTAAGAAATTCAGGGTATTCGGATTCTAGAGTTTTTCATATTGTCTTATTATTATTCTTAGGAATAGCTCAAAGTAACAAGAAGAAAACTTGACCGTTGCTCTGGTTAAAACAGTAGTAAGCACTTGAAAAAAAGCATTATAAATTATTGAATGAGAGTATTACTTGCAAATTCCAGAATTTTCTGGGTCTTAAGACATTATGAAGCATGACTGATTAGCAGGATTTTGAACAACTGTACCAATGAAATTCCAAATTGGAATTGTTTTGTTACTCTGGTTGTTGTGCCAAATTGTGGTACACTTAAAAAATTCTACATTTGTCAATTTTTAGGGTGTTCTATTTCAGCACCTCTTTGTTAGTAATCATTGCCAGTAGTGCCTTCATCATTTAAGGTAGATGTCCCAGAGTGATTTATTCTCTAAAATGAACAGGTGATCATTTTCTCAGCCAGTGTGAAGCAATAAGTGTGGGGTGAGTGTGTGCTTTCACATCTTTACCTGGGCATCTCCATCAAAAGAAAGAGAACAGCAATTGGATAAAATTTTGTTAATCAGTGATTCTTTACTCTGAAGATCCTTGCAAATTCGGGGGCTTAGAAAATGAAAGCAGACACAAAGCATTTAGTGTGCTTTGAAAAGCAAATGGATTTTCTGGAACAAGCTAAGCCAGCTGTATTAATAGCATGTTGTGGATAACCAAGAATGTGTTATAAGTGCTAGAACTGTTTCTATGCTTCGCACAATAGTGGACAAGGGTTAAACTTAGTATTCTTTGCAAATGAGACATTAATATCTTCCCTTGCTTGATGTGACTAGTCACTTAATTTTCAGGAAACAGAAATCACTAATGCTCCTTAGTAAGCTGAGTCAGCTGGTCTTCATCCCCACCCTGTTTGCTGAGTTCATATGAATGATTAAATTGGTACTTGTGGAGCAAGAAAAAGAACCTCTCCTTCCCTCCTCCACAATGGAAAAAAAGTGTATAAATTATAACCATATACGTGGCAAGAATGAAAGAATTCTGTTTTCTGGAAAAACATTTCTTAGTTGTAGAGACTCCTATTTTTAACTTTTGTTACAGTATTGATTTATACAAAATGTTGTTACCTTTGAGATAGTTTCAGGTATATTGGGGTATTTATTTGCAGTGCTGTCTGAGTACTGTATTTCTCTGTGCGTTGCCCTGGTGTCAGAATGTTGGTCTTTATTTTAAGGTCATGTGCATGTTCTCCTGCCAAGGAACCTTTACACGGACCTAAACAAATAATAATAATAAGCAAATGCCTTTAATTTTGAGAAAATTAGGCAGAACATGGAAAAGGAATAGGAAGAAATTAATTGAAATTCTTGGAACACAAAGGTATGACTTGAACGTCTCCAAAGCCAGTGTGCATAGGAACAGTGGGCCTGTGTAAAGAGTCACATTGGTAGAACAAATAAATGAAAAATAATAATAAAAAGACGTGTTGTTTTTCTGTAGCTACTGGATGCTGTACTCCGATTGACTGGTTCCAGCAATTCCCAGTGATGGCAGTGCTTTTAAGTAAAATACAACAGCAAAGGAAACTAAACATGAATGGGTAGTCATGGTGATGGGAGCTAGAGTAGCCTGGGTGTCATCCCTGGGGACATTGGGTGAGGAGACATGGGAGTAGCCCTGTGGATGCTGTTCTAAGACAGGCTTTCTCATTGTCCTGTTCCCCCTGCCCCACATAGAACCCTGCAGGTCTGCCTTGTCTCAGGCTCTTAGAGTCCCATCACCTCCCCCACATTAACCCTGGAGGCCCCTCCCTCTCTAGTAGGGTCTTCCATATAGTAGGGTCTTCCATGCCTGGTATGACTTTGAACCTTCTTTCTAGTTAGATAAAAGAGGTATTTATTTTTCGAACTCAGTAACTAGAAGTAATTTCCCTGCTGCTGATCCATGTTGTTTCAACAAACCTCTCACCTGGCTCATCTGAGTGGAGACTAGAAGGAACCCTGAAAGGGTGACAGAGCGTATGGCACTCCCAAGCCTTCCTTTGGCTTGTCAACCCCACCTTGAGTGTTGACGGTATCAAGATATAAAGGGAGTCATTTGGGCCCAGCCTGAGATGGGCAGCTATGCCTAGAAGGAAAGAGGGAGAGAGGAGGAGGAATCCTCAAGGTAGACTTGTGCAGCAGTAGGTAGATGAGGCTCTACCCTAGAGGGAATTGTCAGTGTGACCCCCTTGTGTGCAGATGAGATAACCAGGGAAGACAGCAGGGAGAATGCTAACCTCACAGGGTAGATAGAGTAGTCATTCTAATTATCTTATGACACCAAATGCTGGCACTTATGACACTTCTGCTGACCCTAACCACCCAACCAGATCAGACCTCACAAGCTAATGGCGCAGAGTCCTCCACACTGTCAAATGTACCCAGAACTTTAGATGCCAGGAAACCCATCACCCCTGCCACCCTCGCAAGACCCTACTCATTTCTGCCCTACTAGCTCCCACTACTACCTTGGGTTCAGAACTAACTAGAGCAACTAATAGAACTCATGGAAAAATCTAAACTTAAAGCTTTATTCTAGGAAAACACACACAAATGATTAGCTACATAGGTTGAATTATGAGAGTCTTTGGGAAATTTCAAGAGTTTAGAGATTATCTGTCAAGAGATCAGGACAGAATTCAAACTTTTACATAAAGTTCATTGTAAACCCACATCAGGGAGAACTGAAGGAGAGCATGAGTTGGTGGTACACTCAAAGACAGTCAACCAGACCTGAGTTGGGTAGCGTGCTTGGGCTGGGTAGGGACATGAGCACACATGGGTCCCAGAAAAGGCCCTGAGATATGATGGAAGAAGCAAGATGCTGGGCAGCAGGCATAACTGGAGACATCAAGGAAGTTACCTCGCCCAGATAGGTGAGCAGAACATCTTGGTGTTCAAGGTAGGTGGGGGAGAGCACATTGGAGGAAAGAACTTACACCCTGGGTACAGGCCTATACCACAAGGTGCTGGAAAGGACAGATTCATCATGCCCCCCTGACCTGTAATTACTCTCTCACAGATGGACTTACCTCTGAAATTGTGGGATATCGCACTATTGGAGTTCAGACCCCTCCCTGAGTTTGGTCTAGGCCACCTTCTCAGAAGTAAAGTGTTCTACATTTTGAGTTCTAGGTTCTTCTGACCCAACAGCCCCCAGTTTCTTCCTTGTCCTCATATCAGCCTGAATGTCCCCTATGTTCTCCTAGCCATCCTATTTCTTTCCCAGGTCTCTTATTCTATCCCATCCATGACTCCATCCATCCTCACCAACCTCTTGGGTGGAATGTGGCCTTGGCCTGAAACACAGGCCCACTTGTCTCCCTGGTGATCATTCTTGGTAACTCTTCCTGCTATCAGGGAGAAGTACATATTTATGTCACCTAGGGAGGTGCCAGTCCAGACTTTTCCCCATAAATCTAGCCCTGGATCCCTGGTGCCCCAGTGCCCTATGTAAACACCCAGACCATCTTCCATCCATTCTCTGCCTGCACTTGTGCTGGACTTCTTATTGGCCCTGCCTACACTGCCTGTACAACCTTACCTCCAGCATGGTGATTTCTATAACCATCTGTGTTGCTATGGGACAAGGGTCCTTCCTGAGCCTAGGTCTTGATGCTCACAGCTGCTTCTGTCACAGACACCCATGGTTGCCATATAATTGGATAGACTGGCCATCTGGTAGGCCATTCTGATGACCCCAGACTCACCAAAATAGACTGCATCCACTTTGGGATCCCTGACTCTGGGGAGAGGAAAGCGGCTAGAAACTGCTTTTGTTGTGGAACTAACTTTCGTGCTACCTGGCATTGCCCACCACCCCTGAGGGTATGCAAGGGCATCAGTCAGATACCTAGATTCACTGTCTGGCCTCCTGAATTTCTCTGCAGAAGTGATACTGCCTCCACTCAAGCTAAAAAAAAAAGAGCTGTGCTAAAGAGTAGCTTACCTGGGGTGGAGCTAAGTACTATCTTGGTGGAAGACTACTAGCACGTGTGGGCTAGACACCTGACCCGGAGGGGGGAAGGTCTGGTCTGAGAAGTGAAATCCTTGTAGCCTGCAAGAAGCTGTTTCTCAGTCTGAGAGTTAGTGCCACCAGCTGTGGAAAGAAGATTAAGTGGAGCTTGGAGGTGGACCCCAGGCAGTTTGACATCAGGGATGGAACTGTATACTAATATTGAACCTGGGACTGCCAGTGTTACCCTCTCTGGACATTCCTGGCCTCTTGCTCTACTTCTCCCCAAGGAAACAGTCAGTGGCCCAACTGCAGTAGAAAAATATTACACAGGCACAGGTCTCACTAAGCCAACCATTGATTTCAAAACCAGAATACATTACAAAGGAGGAACAAATTGCAACACCTACTCAAAACACGGTGACTTTGGAAGGCATACCATGTACTGTGAAGTATTTGGAAAGTTGTGGCTACATGTCAACACCTTCGCCAGTTACGGAATATAGGACAGGATAAGACCGAGGAATTTTTCACAGAGAAAGTTGAAATACCAAAGGGTAGACTCACTGAAAATTACAAGAAGTCAAAGAAAAAGCTTTTAAGAAAAAAGTTACAATAGGGTACATTTTATAATAGGGTGTGTTAGCCTGGGTTGACTAGAGAAGCAAATTCATACACATGTATAAGAAAGAGCTTTATAACAAAAGAGTCATTGTATATTAAGATAACATTGCAGCCCAGTCCAGATCAATTCCATAAACCCTATATTAGTCCGTAAGCCCTATTCTAGTCCATAAATTCCTTCAGATTCATACAGTACATGCAATGATGCCAAATGCAGGAAGATTACAAGCCGGTGGGTGAAAAGTCTTGTGGATCCAATGTCAACAGAAGCATCTCAGCACTGGTGTGGGTCTCCACATGGCTCCTCCAGCTCTCTAAGTGTCTTAACAGCAGGTAAGTGAAGAAGAGAGAGAGAGGCCTGCCTCTTCTAATGGCAGAATCAAGAGAGGAAGCGCCCAGAATTCTCATGAGAAGGCCATGCCAATGACAGGCTAGACTTAACCCCTTCGCTCTTAATATCCTCAAGTTGACACAAGATTATGTAACTACCTAATAGGGCATAGAAAATTCATGTACTTTAACCTTTTGGATACTATAAAACAATACATTTCACCTGATTTGGCACCCGGGGTGGGGGTGGGGGGAGGGGAATCTAGGGGGGTGTTGGTTTATTCATTTTGAACTTTTAGGTTTTTTTATTTTGTTGCAGACAGGTGGACAAGATGTCTATGTCTTTCTAGCATGACTTAATAATCACGGAATAAAATGAAAGGTTATTGACTTTATATATAAGGCACAGGAAAAGATCATGATTGTCCAAGAGGGAACTCGAATTGCCAATTACAATTTTTAAATTCCCCAAAATAATCAAATTTGTTTTTACAGACATTTTTCTACTGGCAAAAGGAATAAAAGGAAAGAAAAGGTTTATTTGTTTGTTTATAACTTCACGTTAAACAAGCGAAAACTGTTGGCAGGGATAGCAAGTTAAGAACATCATCTTTACAAACTAAGTCCTTCAAATAAATATTTTACACAAATTTTTGTCTTCAAAAAATAGACCAAATGCAATATTACTGCAGACAATATGCTACAAATTGTCCCTTGGTACCGGTGGGTAGGGGGGTGGGGGGTGGGGTGCGGCCTTGCTCTCAGACAGCATGTCCCGGAGCCTTGATTATAAAATGGTATATTTGCATATAACCTACAATCTTACTATATGTTTTACATTGCCTTTAGATGACTTACCCAATCAATACCTAATTCAACATAATTGCTTGTTGGGAGACATTTTTCTACAGAAAAAGAAAACAAAACAATAGAGGGGCCAAGCAACCAATGCTCAAATGGCAAGGGGCTGCAATCTTTGAAGTGGTGGGAGGTTGAAGCCAGGTATGCCTATCCTTGTCTGTGGGGATTCAGCTGTCCCCACAGCAGTATATTCAAGATTTACTTTCTGGATCCTGCCACTGATATTTTTTATCTACAGTTAGTTGAACACACTGATGTGGAATCAGGGCATCTGGCAGGCCAACTGTACACATGTATCACTTGAGGATGGGTGTGTGTGTGTGTGTGTGTGTGTTGCATACACAAGAAACTGCTAACACTGATGTACATATAACTTCCAAAGGAATAATCTGACCTGTATCCTGCATGACAAGGAAGCAATGGAAATACTGTGGACTATGGTACACATTTCCATCTTCAAAATTAAAAAATATAATGCTTTGGGGTCTTGAACAGGAGATAAAAGTCAACACTTCTTGCAAAATATCTGA